ATTATCCGGAATTCCGATTATCCGGAATTCCGATTATCCGGAATTCGGATTATCCGGAATTCGGATTATCCGGAATTCGGATTATCCGGAATTCGGATTATCGGGATTCGGATTATCCGGAATTCCGATTATCCGGAATTCCGATTATCCGGAATTCCGATTATCCGGAATTCGGATTATCCGGAATTCGATTATCCGGAATTCGGATTATCCGGAATTCCGATTATCCGGAATTTCGATTATCCGGAATTCCGATTATCCGGAATTCCGATTATCCGGAATTCGATTATCGGAATTCGGATTATCCGGAATTCGGATTATCCGGAATTCGGGATTATCCGGAATTCGGATATCGGAATTCGGATTATCCGGAATTCGATTATCCGGAATTCGATTATCCGGAATTCCGATTATCCGGAATTCGGATTATCCGGAATCCGATTATCCGGAATTCGGATTATCCGGAATTCGGATTATCCGGAATTCGGATTATCCGGAATTCGGATTATCCGGAATTCGGATTATCCGGAATTCGGATTATCCGGAATTCGGATTATCCGGAATTCGGATTATCCGGAATTCGGATTATCCGGAATTCGGATTATCCGGAATTCCGATTATCCGGAATTCCGATTATCCGGAATTCGGATTATCCGGAATTCGGATTATCCGGAATTCGGATTATCCGGAATTCGGATTATCCGGAATTCGGATTATCCGGAATTCGATTATCCGGAATTCGGATTATCCGGAATTCGGATTATCCGGAATTCCGATTATCCGGAATTCCGATTATCCGGAATTCGGATTATCCGGAATTCGGATTATCCGGAATTCGGATTATCCGGAATTCGGATTATCCGGAATTCGGATTATCCGGAATTCGGATTATCCGGAATTCGATTATCCGGAATTCGGATTATCCGGAATTCGGATTATCCGGAATTCGGATTATCCGGAATTCCGATTATCCGGAATTCGGATTATCCGGAATTCGGAATTCGGATTATCCGGAATTCGGATTATCCGGAATTCGGATTATCCGGAATTCCGATTATCCGGAATTCCGATTATCCGGAATTCGATTATCCGGCCGGATTAGGAATTCGGATTATCCGGAATTCGGATTATCCGGAATTCCGATTATCCGGAATTCCGATTATCCGGAATTCCGATTATCCGGAATTCCGATTATCCGGAATTCCGATTATCCGGAATTCCGATTATCCGGAATTCCGATTATCCGGAATTCCGATTATCCGGAATTCGGATTATCCGGAATTCGGATTATCCGGAATTCGGATTATCCGGAATTCGGATTATCCGGAATTCGGATTTCCGGAATTCGGATTATCCGGAATTCGGATTATCCGGAATTCGGATTATCCGGAATTCGGATTATCCGGAATTCGGATTATCCGGAATTCGGATTATCCGGAATTCCGATTATCCGGAATTCGATTATCCGGAATTCGGATTATCCGGAATTCGGATTATCCGGAATTCGGATTATCCGGAATTCGGATTATCCGGAATTCGGATTATCCGGAATTCGGATTATCCGGAATTCGATTATCCGGAATTCGGATTATCCGGAATTCCGATTATCCGGAATTCGATTATCCGGAATTCGGATTATCCGGAATTCGGATTATCCGGAATTCGGATTATCCGGAATTCGGATTATCCGGAATTCGGATTATCCGGAATTCGGATTATCCGGAATTCGGATTATCCGGAATTCGGATTATCCGGAATTCGGATTATCCGGAATTCGGATTATCCGGAATTCGGATTATCCGGAATTCGGATTATCCGGAATTCGGATTATCCGGAATTCGGATATCCGGAATTCGGATTATCCGGAATTCGGATTATCCGGAATTCGGATTATCCGGAATTCGGATTATCCGGAATTCGGATTATCCGGAATTCGGATTATCCGGAATTCGGATTATCCGGAATTCGGATTATCCGGAATTCGGATTATCCGGAATTCGGATTATCCGGAATTCGGATTATCCGGAATTCCGATTATCCGGAATTCCGATTATCCGGAATTCGGATTATCCGGAATTCGGATTATCCGGAATTTGGAATTCGGATTATCCGGAATTCGGATTATCCGGAATTCCGATTATCCGGAATTCGATTATCCGGAATTCGGATTATCCGGAATTCGATTATCCGGAATTCCGATTATCCGGAATTCGATTATCCGGAATTCGGATTATCCGGAATTCGGATTATCCGGAATTCGGATTATCCGGAATTCGGATTATCCGGAATTCGGATTATCCGGAATTCGGATCATCCGGAATTCGGATTATCCGGAATTCGGATTATCCGGAATTCGGATTATCCGGAATTCGGATTATCCGGAATTCGGATTATCCGGAATTCGGATTATCCGGAATTCGGATTATCCGGAATTCGGATTATCCGGAATTCGGATTATCCGGAATTCGGATTATCCGGAATTCGGATTATCCGGAATTCCGATTATCCGGAATTCGATTATCCGGAATTCCGATTATCCGGAATTCCGATTATCCGGAATTCGGATTATCCGGAATTCGGATTATCCGGAATTCGGATTATCCGGAATTCGGATTATCCGGAATTCGGATTATCCGGAATTCGGATTATCCGGAATTCGGATTATCCGGAATTCGGATTATCCGGAATTCGGATTATCCGGAATTCGGATTATCCGGAATTCGGATTATCCGGAATTCGGATTATCCGGAATTCGGATTATCCGGAATTTGGAATTCGGATTATCCGGAATTCGGATTATCCGGAATTCGGATTATCCGGAATTCGGATTATCCGGAATTCCGATTATCCGGAATTCCGATTATCCGGAATTCCGATTATCCGGAATTCGATTATCCGGAATTCGGATTATCCGGAATTCGGATTATCCGGAATTCGGATTATCCGGAATTCGGATTATCCGGAATTCGGATTATCCGGAATTCGGATTATCCGGAATTCGGATTATCCGGAATTCGGATTATCCGGAATTCGGATTATCCGGAATTCGGATTATCCGGAATTCGGATTATCCGGAATTCGGATTATCCGGAATTCGGATTATCCGAATTCGGATTATCCGGAATTCGGATTATCCGGAATTCGATTATCCGGAATTCCGATTATCCGGAATTCCGATTATCCGGAATTCCGATATCCGGAATTCCGATTATCCGGAATTCCGATTATCCGGAATTCCGATTATCCGGAATTCGGATTATCCGGAATTCCGATTATCCGGAATTCCGATTATCCGGAATTCCGATTATCCGGAATTCGGATTATCCGGAATTCGGATTATCCGGAATTCGGATTATCCGGAATTCGGATTATCCGGAATTCGGATTATCCGGAATTCGGATTATCCGGAATTCGGATTATCCGGAATTCGGATTATCCGGAATTCGGATTATCCGGAATTCGGATTATCCGGAATTCGGATTATCCGGAATTGCGATTATCCGGAATTGCGATTATCCGGAATTTCGATTATCCGGAATTCGATTATCCGGAATTCGGATTATCCGGAATTCGGATTATCCGGAATTCGGATTATCCGGAATTCGGATTATCCGGAATTCGGATTATCCGGAATTCGGATTATCCGGAATTCGGATTATCCGGAATTCGGATTATCCGGAATTCGGATTATCCGGAATTCGGATTATCCGGAATTCGGATTATCCGGAATTCGGATTATCCGGAATTCGGATTATCCGGAATTCGGATTATCCGGAATTCGGATTATCCGAATTCGGATTATCCGGAATTCGGATTATCCGGAATTCGGATTATCCGGAATTCGATTATCCGGAATTCCGATTATCCGGAATTCCGATTATCCGGAATTCCGATTATCCGGAATTCCGATTATCCGGAATTCCGATTATCCGGAATTCGGATTATCCGGAATTCGGGTTATCCGGACTTTCGATTATCCGGAATTCGGATTATCCGGAATTCGGATTATCCGGACTTCGGATTATCCGGAACCAATGGGGTTTATTGTTTTTATAATACTTCATTGTATATAGCATTCAAACAACACATCCTTATACACTTAAAGTATTAATATTTTTGATTCTCTAGAAATTGTCTAGAATATACCTTATTTAGCAAAACAACGTTTGCCGGGTCAGCTAGTATATATATATATATTTAGGAGATTTGTATAAATACTATAATTTCTATATAAAGCACGCAGTGACCGCATAAAATTGTTTGTTGTGTTTAATAAAATCGTTTTCATGAAAAGCGCTTTTGCACAAAACAAAATTATTATTCATAGCTTTATATTTGAAAAATATAAATACGAAGTCATATAAATAAACTGTAGTATTTCAAAAAAAATTAGATATTCATTATATTTAAAATCACCTGTATCTTATCAGAATATTCTTCAGCACGCCTTATAGGATTAGGTTTTCTTTTCACAATCACGCTTAATCCTGTTGACTGACCAAAAAATTGAGATCTGTAATAATCTGTCTCTGAGCTGGAAATTAATTTTGTTTTTTTATTACGAAGAAAATATTTATTTAATGCGATTCAGACAGAAAAACGAATTTTTGCTCGTTTAATCAATCTCGTTTTATAAAAACTCTGTATGACTCTATTAATTGAAAATTACATCGATGTAAATTAGTTTGTTTACACAATCTGTTACTCAAGCTTTTGCAGTGATTTTGTGTATTTTATATACTATTTAATCTGTTTACAAATCGATTTTAATATCACTCGTAAATAAAAATATAATTTGCAAAGTGTTCTGTTCGCTGCAAATAAAATCCTTGTGCGTAATTTTCTAGCTAAAGCAGCAATCCATTTTTAATTCACATTCCTAGAGAATTCTCCGAAATCATTTATCCTCCTCTTTGATCTTTAATAAAACGTAATGAGTAAAATCACGATCAAAGAGCACGTTCTTGACATTTCTGGAAAATCTTTCCTTTATTCCTTACCTCGATTGCAGATGCAAGTTGAAGGAGCAACAATGTCCGTCGGGCGTCACCGTTCTCGTGAATAATTCCGTACAATTTCTTTCTAATCCCTCTAATCTGCATCGCATTAGCATTTCACCACAAGATTGACCCAGTTTATCCATGATGCTTCCGAAATTTTCATTGCTTTTCTGGGCAGCCTCAGTCAGGATTTCTAAAGATGTGTTGTCCACTTTCCAGAAGTTCATACTTGATAAATCGCGAAGGCCGCGGGTGATTTGCTGGCGGGTTGATTCTTTGTCGGAATAACTGCCGTAGGATCTGGAAATAATCAATATTTTTAAATAATTTTTAAAACTCAACATTCCAAATAAAATCATATTTGTATCTCACAAGTATTCAGCAACAGCCCTTATGTTGTCTTCGTATGCGAAATTCTTGTTGCATAAAGTTACCGCCGGGAAGGGAAATTTGGACGTGGATTCTGTACTAGAGGCAACGTTCAGTCTGAGAGGCAGACCTAGGTATCTGGTCCAGAATGAATTCACCAAGAAAAACGTCGTGAACAGACCACATCCCAGAATAAAAGTCCAAAATATCCTAGAAATAATAAGAGATTTATACATATGTAAGATTCAGCGTCTATCAGCTATTATCCAGGAGACTGATGTTTATACCTGAAAGTATATATTTATTATTGTAAGATATTGGAGATTCAACTTTAAAATGTGATGCCATGTTATCGAAAGCATTTATTTTTGCTTTCCAAATTCTTTCTATTTCTTTTCTTTCGGAGCTTTCACTAAAATCTACAGAAACAAGTACTAAAAACTTCCGAACTATAAAAACCTCCACGGGGCCACAACGATATAGATTTCAGAAAACAGTTTCCACAAAACTTTTCATTATTTTTTGCAACACAACGCCTTGATGGTTAGTGAAATAAAAATTTTCTATTTCTTGTTGCTTGTTTTTCTTTAGTTGTCATTAGCGTCAAGTTTTTAAGTTGTAATTTAAAAGTTTTGTAATTTCAACGAAAGATTGGGTCGCCGTGTTTAATATAATGTTTGTTTAGCGTAAGAAATTTCTGCTTCAAATACTTTAAAATTTAAGTTTGCATTAATTATAAATTTACGCTACAAAAATGTAATTTAATTAAATTTAAAGTGATTAAAAGTATTATATTATAATATTAATTATCCTAGTTTTATATGAAGCTTAAAAAGTTGTGTAATTATTAATTTTGTTTTCAATTAAGTATAAATTCACATTATATTTATTTAAAATTTAAAAAAAAATATTTTGAATTTTACATTTATTTAAACTTTGTATATAATATAGTATATATAAAAACTTAATAATTTATTAAAATCTCAAGTAATTAATACTATATTTTTATATTAATCAATTAATACAATATTTTTTACCCAATATTTTTATTATGAAACTATAAAGTATTTTACCATTTGACCATTTATAAGTCTGATTGGAAATTCCAACTGTTGATGAAACTTTGGCCTTACAAAGTTGACCAATTTCGAAAGTTTGCATTTCATAGTTAATCTAAAAGTCTTCATTTTATAAAAGTTGGGGCAATTGTAAAATTTGTGGCACTAAAAATGTTATCCAGAGTTTAAATAAATGAATAAGAATTACCAAACACAATAACAAAAAATGGTCACAATTTCACCAGAAGTTGCACTTAAAAGCACATAATATCCAAACTGCTGAGATAATTTTTGTCTAACTTTTTTCACGATAGTCACGATTAATATTATCACATTGTTGTGGCTTGATGTTGAATTTTGGGGTATGTTGTATATCGAAAAGTTTGGCTTTTCTTTTAAATCTGTATATAAATCTGTGTCTGTATGTTGAGCTTATTTGATGAATTTATTAAATACATTCCATATAATACCTCCCATATAATTTTTCCGTAGCCGTATAAATAAATCCATGATTATACGTTTTTTTGGCAAATTCCTCGTAGGCTTCCCGAAAAAACTTCAATCGCGAATTCTTAACATCTTTCTCCTCGCCAACATTTCTCCTCTTGCTCGTCATGATAACTGTCACATACGAGACAATGTGCCTTGTGCTACATTTTAATTGCAAAAACATGGGCAATTTTATGGCATTTAATTACAAGGATATCTGTGAAAAGAGTTTTCAATTATTAATCCGTTCGAGTGTACCTATATTGCCAGTGCACGTTTTTATTGATTCCGGACGAGCGCAAACATTTAATTTTCATTTTATAGCAAATAACAATTTATATGAAACGCGACGGCTGAACACGACTTGGCGGAATAGAGCCCTTGGGACGTTCAAAGTAATTTCAACGTTTCGAATGCATTTTTAATAAAAACAGCTTTTTGCACAATTGTTGTTGACAAGGAAGATGAAGTAGGGTTGAGTCTTTTTATTGTACACGCCAAATCCAATAGCGAAGGTTGTTTGTCTTCATTTTATATGAGGAAGATGAAACAACGCACGTGCAGCTTTGGATCTTAATCCTGCTCCAATGACTACATTCTTCAAAGATAATCGTTTTTGCAAGGTAGAATTGCAAAAAATGTTGATGCTACTGGGTAATAACTATTAGACTTACAGATATTTACAATGATTCCAAAGTGAAACAGATTTGTGTTCTTTTCTGACACTAAAATCCCATAACTAAGCTGTTTCTCTAAATTTTGGACACCTAGGGGTCCATGGCGACTTTTAAGGGGTCAACGGCAGCGTAAATGAAATTTGGGGGTCCACGAAATGAAAATTGGGAGTCCACTGCATTTGAAAATGAACCAAAAAGCAAAGAAACCCATTGCCTATAATGTAACATAGATATCGTTTATTTAATTTTCCCGCATCTTTTATTTATATCTGATTGAGACTCTATATTATGGAAGTTAAATGGTGTAATTGTAATTTATATCAAAAAAATTCAATACAATCATTACTTATAATAAAAATCATTTTTACAGTTAAAGCTTATAAATTCTATTCGTAAATCAGTTTATTTGCAATATGCAATTTTTGGCTATAATCTCTCATCCAGGTGTTCTAATAAAACGCACATAGATTCGAATATACTATTTATTTATTTATTTTGTGGCTGGGTATAAAATCAAAAATGCAAAATTTCCACAGACACATATTTATATATATATATATATATATATATATATATATATTTATACATTTCATTTTCAATTTAAAAATACAATTTGAAAACAAATATTCGAACCGCAATTCCTGCCAAAGGCATTTGAAACTTCAAATTTATATTTTATCGAAATGAAAAATACTTTATGCAAATGCATAGAGAATATGAATATATTATTTTCCATAATAATCATTTATGTAAAATTTACTTTGTGTGGTACGTAGAAATTTTAGATGAAATTGAAAAATATTCAAAGAGCATCATAATATATAGTTAATACACTAAAATATTCATTGGAATTGAAATCAGAATTTTAATTTCAACTTATTACCATTAGGTATAAATTGATTATCATGATTCCACAGTTTATTTGGATTAAGAATTGCCATTTGAATTTTTTTCATAGGATTTTATTTTACAATTATATTTATTATTGATTCAAAATCTCCTAGTAACTGCTTGTTGTGGCAATATTATTTTCGCTTTTCTATTCTGAGTGAATTGTACGACATATTTATTTCTTTCTCTTAATTTTTTCATGACTTCTTGAGATTTTAATCTTTTATAAATAATGTACTGACGTACTGTTAAAAAATATATTAATTCTAATGCACTAAGGAAACTGCATCCTAGAAATAGTCCGAAAATCCCTCCTAAAGACGCTGGAATAAATTGAAAATGAATTATTTTATTATAAAAAAATTAAAATATGCGATATATAATGTATAAACACATATAGGCATATGTTAAATTTTTTTTTCAAATTTATATGTTTACACTCAAGATTATACTAAAAAAAATCTTGGTTATCAATGACATATTTATTTAATAATATAGTTGGTCTTTTAAAATTTTGTAGTATCACCTATATTTTTTCTAATAATTAAGATTTACAATTATAATTTATATTGAAATACTAAAAAAAAATGTGAAGTTACTTACAAACTAAACCAATCCAAGAAGAGAGCAAATCTCGTCTTTGAACTGTGGCAGTTTGCTTTCTGAAGTAAATATGAACTACCGCAAAACTTTCATTTAAATCTTGGCTATAAAATTTTTGCAAATAAAGTATTGCAGATGAAATGAATTTTAATAATATAATTTTAAATATTTTATTTCATCTTACTAAAAATTATCAACATTAGTTTCCAATTTTTGTAAAGTTGATGTAAATCCGTGTACTATGTAATTGTAATTATTGCAAAGTTGTGGACAGAAACAGAAGGAATGATTTTTCATCATTACAGGATCTCTTGATATTGGGGCAGTCGGAATATTTCTATAATCATCTGAAAAAAAGGTAAAATAGAAAAAAAAAATATTTAAATTCTGCAAGTCTAATCCACTTACCCCAGTATCTTACTAAACATTCAGTTCTGGTAAAATTACAAACAGGGATGATCCCAGGTGTTGCTGGGTAATAAAATGGTACACAACCACAAAGTTCATAGGCTTTGGTAGCCCTACAATCAACTGCACAATTTGGAACTGTATATTTTGCAAAATTTGGAAGTGGTTTTTCATCACTAAAAACACATTGGCGATCTGTTATTGCCAATTGTCGAACCTAGGGAAAAATAAATGAGTATAATTTAAAATATATTTATACAGTAACATTATGAATTTGCATATAATTTTACTATCATATACTTATGGCATACAAGTTTTCAGTATTAATATTTCATTAAAAAAATATAGAGTATAGTTTCCTGGTGCGTTAAAAAACAGTACCAGTTGGTTCTACCAATAAGCAAAATGATGTTCTGATATCATGGACTTGCTTTCGATGAGTATACTCAATATAGTTATTTTTAATATTTCTATTACTATTATAAAATTAATTATGTATACCTGATTTGTGCAATAAGTCATTCCAGCAGTGACTTCCATGGCAACTTCTGAGCCTTTTGCAGCCAGTTTTTGAACTACAGCTTCATTTGGTAAAGCATAATTATTGTGAATGAATACCTATAATAAATATATTTTTTTATATTTGAACTAATATCTACAAGTAGATTTTATATATATTTCAGGCTTCTAAACGCTATAGCCATCTACTAAAAATTTATTTCTGGTGGTTTCAATATTTGCTGGATGAACACAAAATGTGAAACAGATGCCGTAAGTTTCTCTGAAATACTTGGTTTTTGCTTCAAATTCTTTACTGATTTAAAAAAATATAATATATTGACTATTAAATTTTGTTGCAATAATAATTATAACTATTTTAAATTAATTTTAAATTATTTTTTCTCAGATTCTGTTCAGATAATAGCAAAACCCATATTGTATTCGGCTGCTGATTTTAGATCATAATTTATTGAACTATATTTTATATTTAAAAAATATTAAAACTATAACGGTTTTATGATACTTTGTAAATGATGTGAGTATATGATTCTCACTAAAAGCATTTTATCTAAATATCAGTTAGTTAATAAAATTTTTAAAAAATCGGTTATTCTGAAGTAAACCAGTTTATCTCTTTCAAAGTTTACCTCTGCATCACAAAGTTTCTATAAGCTTAGACACTATACTAATTATTAAAATTTTATCATGATATATTTATTAAAAATATTTTTTTATAAATGTTTGTTTACCTTTACAGAATCTGGTTCATTCGTAGCATTGGTTTTCTGTATTGGCAAAATTGCTACAGATAATCCATTCGGCAACCCAAAATAATGAGTATGTAACGGCGAAAATTTTCTAAAAATTAATATATATAAGCGTAATTGTTTCATTATATTATAATATCTTTATTACCTCTTTCTATACTCTGCATTAAAAGTACAACAATATCCATCTGTAGTCAAAGCTAAATGAAACAAACTTTTGCAACTTTTGTATCTACCTTGCCATCGACATCTTACAAACAAGTCACTAAAATAGTACTGTTTTTACTAAACTATTGATTAATTAATTGACTAAATCTATTGATTTTTTTTATTTTTTTTTTACTTGCAGGGTTGCACAACATTTTGCATAACATCGTCAGTAGAGTATCGGTTGTCTTGAAGAATTGATTCTAATAAATCTAAGTCTGTATTGTTGGAAATTTCTTCAACCAAAAATCCACCTGAATTTTCTATGGCCATTTCGACTTCTTCACGTGAAACCTCTTTAGGTAAGTTACTAAAAATTATTATAATTATTATTATTATATAAAATACTATGACTATTATTATTATTATTTTACCTACAGTTTTTTAACAAAGCTCTTTACATATTTATCATGTATCCTATTTGTATGGCATATGGTAACTCCTGGAAATGGTATCGACGAAATTGGTTCATGATTTGTTTCAACCACAATACTTGTAGGATTTGATATATATCTGTTCCAAAATGTATTCACCATGATTATTGCTCCCATTATACCAAAAATTACTACTATTATCCAGCAACATCTATATCAAAATAGTAAAACTTAGGAAATTTTTTAGGTAGGCCAGATTCAGAAATTTTAAAATTTTGCTATTATAAGCTGCCAAAATTGTGTCAAACTTTTAAAATTCAAGCAATCAATTTCTAATTTTTTTATTACCTTTCGAGTAAAGTTGTATTCTTCTTCGTAATATATTTAAATCCGTGGACTTGAGTTTCAACAGAAAATTCGTACAAACTTTGCTTTAAAGAACGAAATATTAATTTAATTTTTGTTGTAAATTTCATTTTGTATCAAACTGAAAAAAAAACACAAACTGTGTTTGTGCTATTACAAGAATAAAAACGAGAATAGTTTCTGGGCGCTTTCAGTAATTTGGGTTTATAAAATATTCAGAAGAACATTAATCACTGTATGAAAAATAAAGATTGTATTTTCCGGGTGCTAGATAAACGATTTAGTGATACAAAGCTTCGTTATATATAAAAAATATATATTCAGATGTTAATTTCATTTTTTATACCTTAAATATTTTGTTATACATTATGTTTTTAGTTTTTCACCATTTATTGACCTTTTGTTCTGAAATTATTATAAGGCTTTTGATATCAATGTTTCCCAAAAACTAACCAACGTAAATCATAATCAATACTTTTTGAACAGTTTTTGAATTTATAAAATCGATTCAAAATTTGGGCTAAAACGTGGATGAATACTTTTACACTTTTTTTGCTAATTACAAAGAAATGGCTTGGCCGATGGTCACGAAAAATTGACCGGTACTAGTCCTTATCGAGTTACATCGAATGTCGTTTTTGAGAAAACATCGACGAAAGATCAAAAATGGGCTCACTTTCACACACAAATACACAAACTTATTACAAATTTAATCTTATTTGATTCAGAATGACTTGAAACGTCCACAAAGCATCAAGTTAGCAAATTGGGATTTTACGCAAAAACATAAACTTCTCCTTCGGGAAGTTAATAATTGATTTATTCTTGGTCGTAAGTTGATGAAATATCAAATTTAAATTGGCGCACTAAATTTAAATAATATAAATAAATTACTATTACATTAAATAAATAATTTATTGTATTAATATTGGAATTGAAAATTATACTATGCATGATAAACTTATGTGGGTGCATTTTCTATACAGATGGATACAATCGTGTTGTAAATTTTAAAAAAATGTCTAAAAAATGTAGATTTGTATCTCCTCATATCTTTTCCCTATAATTCCAGAAAGTTTTTTGAATCATTCAAATCGGATGCTTATATATAGTTCTCTCAAAAACTGACATTTTTAGCACTTTTTGCCCCATATCTCCGAAGCCGCTGGACCTGTCTTCGTCAAAAACTAATCAGTCCATCTTCTCATCCATAGAAATCGAATGTTTCTTGAACCATTCAAATCGGATAATCCGTACGCCCCAAATTGTCGACGAAAAATTGTCTCCACACATTAACACACACACATTTTTAGCACTTTTTGCCCCATATCTCCGAAGCCGCTGGACCTGTCTTCGTCAAAAACTAATCAGCTCATCTTCTCATCCATAGAAATTGAATGTTTTTTGAACCATTCAAATCGGATAATCTGTACGCCCCAAATTGTCGACGAAAAATTGTCTCCACACATTAACACACACACATTTTTAGCACTTTTTGCCCCATATCTCCGAAGCCGCTGGACCTGTCTTCGTCAAAAACTAATCAGCTCATCTTCTCATCAATAGAAATCGAATGTTTCTTGAACCATTCAAATCGGATAATCCGTACGCCCCAAATTGTCGACGAAAAATTGTCTCCACACATTAACACACTTACACATCAATTTTTTTTAGGTATGCGAAAATGTTCAGAGACATCCGATACGTAAAGATATGCAAAAAAAATTATTTTCGATTTTGGGCCCGTTACTACAACTTACCCTACGGGAAGTTAATAAAATGATGCAATATATATTGGAACTAAAAATTATCCTGAGCATGGTAAACTTATGTGTGTGCATTTTTTATACAGATTGATACAATATTATTGTAAATTCGAAAAAAAAAGGTAGAAAAAAAGCAGATTCGTATCTCCTTTATATCTTTTCCCACAGTTCTTGTCTTCCCTCTGGTGACCAGATACAAAGATACAACTCCCACACACGCGGCCGGCTCGTCCGAAGATCTCATTCCCAATTATGAATCAGTCTGAATCCGTCCTCGAGCAGGTACGCTCGCACAACCTCCGACTCTGAACCGAACATCGCCAGAGTAGTGGCTTCGGTTTTTCATTGACTAAAATACATTTTGTACACGACTATACACTAAACCTTCTTCGTTCAAATAGTTCCAAGTGATAATTGAACCGGTTTATAATAGATGTGACTATTATTTTTGGATACAGTTTTTTGTCAAAATTAATAATCGACACAGTTGTTTACTATGGTAATAGTAGTGGAATGAATTTTTGATTCGCACGTTTTGTGGGTATATATATATATATATAGATAGTACTTGTGTTGTGTTCGTGAAGGGACGATTGATTTAGTGTCGGCATGGCAACGTAGTACTACATGGTAAGCGGATATGCACGTGACTAATATTTTTTGTGAAATGCAAGGATTTATCAAACTGTGATAATCCAAAATATAAACTCTATATTATTATTTCGACATTGAAACATATAAAATAATTAGCATTCCATTCTTCGAATTAAAGAAAGTCAACAGCTTAGAAAATATTCACGTTTGCCGGGCCAGCTAGTATATATATATATATATATATATATATATATATATATGATAAAGTTGTTCTTAGGCATGCATCCAGTATTAAAAACAGTTTTATTGAAGAAAAATGTTTTTATTATGAAAACATACGTTTCGGATCGTATTTGACTCATCTTCAGTGCTACATTAAAATATTTCAGGGTTACAATTTAAAACGATATAAAAATTACGCAATTATAGAAAAATATAAATAAAAACATGTAAAAAGCATAAATCTAATCAATTTAATTTAATTTGTTTTATTAATAAATTTGATAAATTGAGTTAATGGATAATCATTTTTTGCCTATGGGGCATTATGTTCTTCTTTTCAGTTTTTGATTTATATTAATAGTTATGTGTTATTTTTTCTTATCAAAGTTTTTAAATATAAACATCTATTTTAAGGGTAAGAGTTGGCAACCCTTACATTTTTTTATTTTTTTGGCCAATTTCTTTTATTTTATTTTGCAATACTTTGTAGTTAAAAAGCACATGCAACCTTAAATTTTCACCCTCCTATCATAAATCCTTATTTCGTAATTGCCGTTTTAGTAATAGAATAATTTTTAATCCCAAATGAAAGTCTATGAATTTGTGCAAAACTATAAATTTTTTTGCAGAATTTTTAAAATTTGTCTGAATTCGAGAGGCATGTCACAGAATAATACAAAACTGAATGTTCATATTTTTCAAAAATTAATAAATTAATGAAAAATCTTGGATCCAAATGTGCCAATTTAATTAAAATGAAATCAGTTTAATCATTTATATATGTATCATGCTTTGCAGTGGATAAACCATCCACCTAATTTGTGTTAGTGGACTTTTCGCTAATATAAAATTTTCAACAAATATTTTTTATGGATAAACAATGTAATTAATTTAACAATTATTAATTCATCTTTAATAATTACACCAAAATCATCTTTATTATTAAAACTATAATTTTTTTAAATATCATTTTTAGATGTTTTATATTTTTGTCAATATTATTTATTTCATCACATTTTATTTTAATTCTTTTTGCTTATTACGTTTTGTTTTCACTATTTTTTTAAATAAATTTTTAATTTGTTTAGTTTAAAGTATCATTAAAAAATAAACTGTACTAAAATCTCACTCATTATTATTAGATCATTTAATTTATTGGTAATGTAAGGCCGTTAATATTGTTTTCATAATTATTATTTGCATCATTACTAAACTCGATATTTTGATTGTTATTTCGGCGTTGAAACATATAAAATGATTATTTTATGTGGGGTCTATCAAAGTTGTTTGATATATTTCTGTTAATTACTTATTTGTGTTTATTATCTTATATTACAATTATAAACTTCTCTAATTATATTTTTTTAATTTTCAGGTCCATAACCAATTTGGAAACATTTGTAACTTTAAACAAGAATGTAAATACAAAAATTTATTTTTCATACTTTTATATTTTCTTACCAAGTCAACAAATAATCATTAAAAATGAGTGAACAAGATGCAATGTTTGATAAAATTATGGATTCTATCGGAAACAATGGAGTATTTCAAAAAAGGTTCAATATTTTATTCAACATCGTTCTGGTATTTTTGGCGGCTATGCCCGAAAATAACATTGTGTTGGCAATGTCGATTCCTGATCACTGGTGTTATGTTCCAGGAAGAGAAAATACAAATTTTACATTGCAGGAGTGGAAAAATATCACACTTCCCATGTAAGTAAAATAAAATAATAATATGTTATGCAATATTACACTTTGTAATTTATAAATTTATTAAATATTTGTGTCCATGTCAGTTGTAGTATGAAATGAACAGAATAGTCAGCAATTAAATAAAATTGTCATTCATAAGAGATATATGTCTGTTCATATTAGATATCTAGGTTAACACGCATTTTACCAAATGTACAAATAGTACATCAATTCCAATCCTGACGTCACATTTCGATCATGATATCGATCTCTGACCATAATTTTTGCAAATAACGATTTCTTTTACTCTTGAACTTGCCCTAGAACTCTAGATTGACCTCTATAGCTAATGAAAACCATTTTATTTTGAATTAGATATAATTCTGACCTCAATTTCTAATGAAAACTATTTTATTTCCAATTAGATATAATTAATTTCCATTATATATAATGAACATGATTGAATGATGTGCGTTTTTTTTACAGAGACAGGGACAATGGTGACCGTGAAATCTTTAGCTCGTGTTTGATGTATAATATTTCAAATTTTCCTGATGGAAGAAATGATTCTGGTGTAATAGGTAATAAATATACAGGAATTTTTATATTTTATATTTATTGGAATTTTACATTAATTAAAAATGAGCTGGTTTAAAAATTATTATTCTTTTATAGACTTATTTGTGAAAATTTTAGTTGCCAATAAGTATTCATTTTCATATCAATTTGTACAGAATTAGACTTCCTAGTTTTCCCATTAGGGTAGTTCTTAATATGGACATTTTCGAATTTGCTTGCTTCCAAGGGCTCAAATGTTTCCAAAATGATAAAAAACAATTCTCTGAATGTTTTAGCTCTTAATTTTGGCTTTTAGATAGAGCGCAATTCAATCAAAGATTTGTATGGAAATAGCATGAAAAAAGATTCAAAAATTTTGCGGAGCGTCGAATTTTCAATGAAAAATGACACGAATTTTCACGTTTAATCTATTTGTCGCTATTTTTTTTTTTATTTTCAAACTTTTTTCCGTGCTATTTCCATACGAAGTTTGATCGAATTGCGCACTATCTAAAAGTTGATATTAAGAGCTAAAACTTTCAGAGAATTGTTTTTTATCAGTTTGGAACCATTTGAGCCCTTGGGAGCAAGGAAATTCGAAAATGTTCATATTAAGGACCACCCTAATTTATATACGATTTGATGAACGTAGCACTTGAATTCCTCTACAAATTAAATATATACATTCATATATCGATTTTTATATAAAATTAGCTTGGTATAAGTTTGGATTTTATTTTGGGCAGCCATATAAATTTATATATCGATTTCTAGCCATTTAGGGGCTTCTTTATGAGTTATTTTATAACGTGAATAAATATATACATCTATATATCTATTCCATTAATCTAATTTTTATTACAAACGTCTGTGTGTATTTTATTTCATTTTCTAAACTTTGGCTCAAAATCTATTCTAGTCATGATTTATGTTTCTATGATTAAAATCTGTCTAGTTTTGCAGCGGTCTATGCTAATTATAAATATGTTTTCATATTTTGTGAGATTATTTTGCGCACAAAATGATAAAACTTTGAAATGCTATTATTGAAACAAAAATAGTAACATTGTTATGAATTTTTATACGAATAATTTTATCGACGTACATTATATAATTTATCATAAATTCAATAGTATACTCTGTTGCAAGTCTTTTTACCTCACAATTTTTGTATATTTGGTCAATTTTTTCTATTTATAAATTTTGCACAATTTTCTTAATACATGTTATAATTTTTTTCATAATGTTTTAATAATTATTGTATTGTGTGACGTTGATTTTTATAGCAGAAATAATATATACTTTTATATATTGAATTTTACCTAAGTCAGCGTTTCTGCATGGCGTAATCATAGGAATTTTCTATTTTATTCCACGTCCAGTAAATTTCCAATTTCCCTAATTCTACTTTAATTCGAATCAATTATCAACTCACACAATTACTGAAACCATGGCTCAGAGATCGGAACCTGTGCTTCGATTTGCCGCAGGATGCCAGCATGGGTACGAGTACGACAAGACCTGGTTCGTCCAGACGGCGCCTTCGCAGCAGGACTGGGTCTGTGACCGGGAACTCTACGTCACGAACGCCTTCGCGTCCAGCAAGATCGGGGAAGTCCTGGGCACTTTCATGTTTGGACAACTTGGTGATGCGTGAGTAGAAAAGATGATTTATAAAATTTATAAAGTAAGTTTGAGAACCAAAGAACATGGAACAAAGGACGGATTTCATGGAACTGCATAATTTTATTCTGAAATGCATTGTTTATTTTGACTACTGATTTTGATCATTTTTCAATAAGGGGGCGTCCATTAATCACTTGAGGTTTTTAGGGGAAGAGGGGGGTTTGACAAATAATAACGAAATTTCACGTGGGGGAGAGGGGGGTATAGTAAGATGTCATGTGCATTTATTTTTTAACTGATTTTTTAAAAAAAAATCAAAAAATGTCAAAAAACATTCGAAATTTCACAGTTTTATCACGCAACTAAAAATACACGTGATGTTTGGTGGGGAAGGGGTTGTAATTTTGAATATCACCACGTATCACCAAGGGGGAGGGGGAGTCCAAAAATCCTTAAAAACTCGCCAACGTGATTAATGGACGCTTCCAGTTTTTGTTAGCAAAAAAACTGAATCAGGTACAATTTTACCGCTCACAAGCAGTATTTTAATCGAATGTGTATACTAAACATTTTCCTGTTTCCATGTTCTAAACTTTCCGTTTTCATTCAATTAATGAGGATATTTTGCGTGTTATTTACAAACAAGAAATAAGAACTATCAGCGGATATTATTCATAGATGTATATTCGGTTTTTTGCTTTAAAAAATGTGCTAATTTGCCCATTTTTTTAGCAAGTGATATGATATCGCAAACCTGTAGCAAAAAATGACGAATTGCATCATGATAACGTTTCATGACATGTCGTAGCCTTGGATTGATTTTCGACATTTGGATTTTAGAGATAACTTCGAGTTTGTAAATAAGCTAAAAAGTCATAACATAAATTATACAAATCTTTCAAATAAATAAATAAATTGTATAATTAAAAGCATCGTAAAAGACGAGATCTTTATTGAAAAATTGATTCTACAACAACTCTCTTTTGTAGAGAAGAGAAAAATTATATTAAAACAATTTCGAATACAAGTTTTAAATATTTCATTGGTATTAAATGAAATGATTAATCTCATGGTTTTAAATTTATAAATTATATTAAAAGTCAACGCACTATTAGCACGCTCAGATTGATTTTCTATTTTTAAAACATATTCTAAAAATATACCCGGATGCTGTAGAGTATTTCAAAGTTGTAAAATGTTTTTTTAAATACAATTTTGAACAATTGTGCCAAATACGTTATTAATATTATCTAAACTACTACCTTAGACTAGCATTCTATCAAAAAAATTATTTTCATTATATTAAATTCAAATTAAATCCGTTAATAACTCGAACACATCAAACTTAAAACACTGTATGTTAGAAACTCTTATTTTTGCATTTAATGAAATATTTACTAACAAAATTCATCCTGATATTTAATATTTTCGCCTAAATAATCCTAAGGTTCAGAAGTATTAAAATTAATTTAAGTTGCATTTAATTTCATTAATATTAATGACTAATATTAAGGATTAAGATTAATTTAGGATGTTATTATATATAATAAATAAAAATTTGTATTTCAATTTGGATATAACTGCATAATAAATAAATGAGATGAAATTGCATATAAACATAGTTATAGAAATTATGTATTATGTAATGTCAAAGTATCAAGCAAAACTTTTAAAATAAATATGATATACTAAGCAAAACTAGTATGATTTGAAATGGATTTTTCCACTATATTGCATGTGGCAAATTGGTTTCATAATTATTTAAACATTTACTATATATATATATATATATATATATATATATATAATTATATATATATATATAAATATATATAATTTTATTTATGATATTGAACTTCAACCTCGATTCAATAATTAAATTCTATCATATTTTATCATTGACGATCGCGTTAGGTGAAATATTATCATTCAAACATATGTTAGTCACATTTTCAATCAAAATTTGCATAAACTGGAATGCTAATTTTAATTTTAGCATATCGTTTTAACGACTCGTCGTTAAGTGTCATGGTGAGATCACTATTGATATATTATTTCGTGAAATGAATTTTAAACTCAAATAGTATAAAATTATACATATGTTATGAAAAATATATCGATTGGTAGACCTAGAATGGTTTTTGTGTATAGAGGTACATGTATATTTTTTCAGTATTGGAAGGAAGCCAGTGTTCTACATCAGCATCGTAACCATAATAACTGGACGTGTCTTGTCTGCACTCACCTCATCATGGTACTCATTTTTCCTGCTGGCTGCAGCCTTGGGAAACTTGAGCATCACTCCTATTTTCCAATGCCCTTTGGTCATCTCTATGGAAATATCACATGGGTAAGGGATAAGAACATTGAAATCCATGCTGATATTATCAAATTATTTTTTGCGCCAGTATTGTCTGCTTGTAATGCTTTTTCCACATGATTTTTTATTTATATATCTGTTTTTTTAAGAGATGATCGTGCACATATAGCAGTTATTCAATGCATTGCCTGGACAATTGGTATGTGTGTTATGCCTTTGATAATGTGGGCTGTAGGAGATTGGTCTACTTTTATGTTAATCACAACTTTACCTTGTGGCCTGGTACTTTTTGGATACAAGTTAGTACTAGTAATAAATTAGTAAAAAAATATAATATTTAAATATTTGTATACAACTTTTGTTTCCAGATATATAATAGAATCTCCACGATGGTTGGCGAGCCGAGGAAAACAAGAGCGTGCTCTCAAAGAATTAACAAAAATAGCCAAAATAAATGGAACTTGTATAAGCGACGAAGTATTGACATTTCTTGAGAAAAACACGTCACAAAAACCAGAAAAAGTCTACGGAATGATGAGTCTATTCTCATCTGTAAGACTAGCCAAAAATACTATACTGATGACTGGCTGCTGGTAAAATATAAAAAAATAATTACACAAATTAAGTTATATTTATGCTATTTTTATGCCATTGCAGGATCTCATCTGTGGTTTGTTTGTATACTTTGATATTAAATATTAGTAACATGAGCGGAAATCCATTTTTAAACTTTTTATGGCAATCCATGGTAGAAATTCCTGCATATTTGTTGGGAAGATATGCTTGTGATAGGATTGGACGGAGGTGGACTGGTTTAGGATTTTTTTGTCTTGCATCTATAACAGCCACTACGCAATTTGCACTTTTGAATGGTAAAAAAATAATATACATACAATATACAGGCACTATTTTTCTAATTCAATATTCTTTTATAATTCTTCTGGCATTAACATTTTGATTTCCTTCTTCTTAGTTCAAGAATCCACATGGTCAGTTTTAGCTTTGGCAACTTTTATGAGATTTTGTATCAGTATTACATTTTACGTTGTCAATCTTCAAGCAATGGAAATTTATCCAACTTGTTTGAGACAAACAGGAATTTCAACAAGTGTTATTGTATCAAATGCCATGGGAGTACTTGGACCATTCATAATACTCCTGGTAATAAAAAAATCATGATTTCGTAAGTAAATCATTTTGATCATGTTTTCTTTTCCAGGGCACTCAATACCACATAAGTTATCCTTATCTGGTGATGTCTTTAGTGTCCTTGATGGGGGTTCTTTGCGAGCTATTTTTACCTGAGACTTTATATAAAAGATTACCTGAAACTTTAGCAGAGGCACATCTTTTCGGAACCAATCACAAAATGTGGTGCATGCCTCAAAGGAAAATCGTTAATATGATTCCAGAAAATAATGATAAAATTGGAATTATGTAAATTAAAAAAATATTAAGTTTTCTAGGTACTTATTTTTCCAAAAAGAAGAAACGATTTTCTCGATAAATACATTATTTACTTACATTCCTTCAATATTTTAAATGAAACGTGCCTTGCCAAAGAGGATAGATTTGTCTTCCATGTATATTTGAGGAGTTAATAAAATTTGAGAAGATATCTGAATATTTTTTATATATTTAGGAAATCAGGTACTCGAGTCTAAAGGAATACAGGTACGTGATAGAGATATTTATTGAAATAAATTGGTGGTGGTTTTTTAATGATTTTTTTATGTCTTCTGTATATATTTTTATGATTTTCTATAATTTGTACGATGACAACTATAAAATGTTCAAACAACTTTTACTTTTTTAGAAAAATATTTATTTAAATATAATTTTAACAATATCAAAATACATAAATTAATTTTTAAAGTTAGAAAATACTCATAAATTTTATTTATTTTTTGGCCAAATATTTTTTGTACTCCGGGGCCAAAGTTTCTACATATTGTTTGAACCACGGACACGTCATTATCATTTTTTTGTTATTGCTTGCGATGTAATCCAAGGCAGCCTGTAATTATTGAAAAAATATATTTAAAATATATTTTTTTATTATTTAATTATAAATAAAATTACTTGGGATAAAACGTGTGCCACCCTTCGACCTCTGAGGTCCTCGGGTACGTAGACTTTAAGGACGTTTATTGTCGTTTCGTCCTTTGAGTACTTCAGGACAGCTTTACCTGTAATTATTAAAAAAAAATTATATATATTTATATATATATATATACATATGTATACTGTTTCTTTTTAATTAGCAGAGAAGGGCAACATTATTTGTCTCATTTTTAGCAAGAAATTCTGAACCCATTTTGAAAACTCAAAGCCTGTTTAAAAGGCTTCAGGTGGAAATCGTACTGGTTAGTTTTGGTAAAAATTGGTTAAACCAGTTCTTCGAATTGTTAAAAAAATGGATACAATTTTTCCTAAAATATTATAGGCTTGCGGTAAGTGGTTTATTTATAAAAATTCATTAAAGTTCAGAATAAACTTTATTTTCTAAATAGCCTATTGAAAATCACATCGTCTCAGTTGGAGTGGCTAAATACCAATTATTACTCACTATATCGATTATTCACACATATTGGGAATTTGGAACACATTTGTACATTTTGTTCCTTAAATAAAAATTTAATCTAAAAATACATCCTTACGTTCTCCAAACCTAACAGTAAATCTATTTTTTTCTTCATCATGTTCCACTTCCACATATTCAGTACCAAAAGCCTTCGCAAAAATCCTTGTATTTATTCTTTTGGGGCACAAAATCTGTTTAGCCAAACGTTGTAAATATGTTTCCATTAAAAACATAATAACAGTAATAAAATTTTATAAAATTAATAAATAAGAAATATTCATACAAAAATATATATTGCCACTTTGCGATGACAGAAACAAAATTTTAATAGTAGTATATTTATTCATCAAAAGTACAAACAAAAACAAAATGTTATATTTAAACTTATAAATAATAATTTAGTTTATTTTATTATACGATATCCATTCTGAAATTGGAACAGAATATTTATATTTATATTCTATATTACGAGCTATTTGTTCTTCCACAATTGCCAATGTTTGTTGTGAGTTCATTGTGATTATATTTGCTTTGATGAATTTTTTATACTGAAATAAATAAAAACTATTAGAAATATAATCCAGCATTGAATTTGAGAGAATATTTTTGAACATCAGATGGTGATAATGAAATAATTAATTATGTAATATAATCTGTAAAAAAAAGCTACTGCTTAGATTAGCAATACATGGCGCGATTTAAAAAAAAGAATAATTTCACAACTCGATACTTGTTCCTCGTTTTTTTGTGAAATTTAAACGACTTATAAATTAATCATAGGAATGAAAGTTTTAGGAAAAAAATCTACAAATTTTTACTAAATATTTCTGATCATTTCCTATATACTCACTTCTATGAAATCGTCGATGTGATTTAATTTGTCCAACACTTTTATGAAATTGCGTATTATTGTATCATGTTTATAGAATTTTATATAGATCATTTGCCAGTTATCCTTTAATATCCTCAATATATTCTTACTAATTTCAGGATCTTCAAAATTATCCAAAAGTTCTAATATATCATCGTTACTAAATTCGGATGTAGTGATGATTTTTTCAAATAGTCTGTAAAAATAAAACAAATATTTATAACCTTTTTCTCATGTCTTAAAGTAACTGCTAATTAACACAATAATTTATTATCATACTTATTTAAAATCCATTGCTCCTTTGTGCACGCTAAACTTTTTAGCAAAACAATTTTCTTATAAGAATCCACATTTCCAAAAGCTTGGAAAATCTTTTCCACATCTGAATCAGAATTTTCTACAGCTGCGCATAAAATACTTTCTTGAAAATCGACAACAACACTAAAAAATAATTATAAATATGATTTTTTTAAATCATAATGAGTGAATTATTTTACTTTTCTTACAAATCGTTTGAGAATTCTTTCTCGATTAATTCAGTAGTTAATTTTTGTGAAGACATTTTGCAATCGTTGTTTCCAAAATGGCATGTCCATCTGTAAATCAAGGCTTCTAAGGCTGATTTTGATTGTGTTGGATCGATATTATTGAATATTGGGTTTAGGATTGATAGCATATAGTTCTAAAGAGTATAATTATAATAGTTAATTCAGTTTGCAGAACATAATGGAATTTCTAGACCAAATAGAAGCTATACTTCTATTTAATACTATATGCAATTAAGGAGCATCTAAGGTGCATTACCTTAAAGTCACCATAATTTGGTGAAAATCTCATGACATTTTCAAGAATTTTAAAGTTTTCCATTGCCACTTTCCAAACAACTAGTGACTCTTCTGTACCTAAACTTTTGGTCATATTTAAAGGAATATCTATTGTTATATAGTTATTCAAAGCTAATTTGAAAGCATCATCCAAAAGTTGTGCTTTTGTTATTTCACCAAGATCTTCTGGTTTAGTTTTATAAATATCTAAAATAAGAGTCCATGTTTCTTCATCGTAGTTGACTCTATAATAACCTGTGAAAAATAATTATTTTAACTGGTTTATTGATATAAAATTTAATGATAGTAAAGAAAATTCATTACCAGTATCTTAGGTCTAATTTTAGGTAATTCCAATTTTTCCTTACTTTGTTGATGGTTATATATTAATTGGGAAGTAAAATTTTACCTGATCTCAAATCATTTAATATTATCCACTCGATTTCACTCCCTTCCAAATCCATTATTTTAGAATTTTTATCCATCATCCAATGTTGTACTGTTCCAGACCATTTTGGATCAGAATGAGATGAAGTAAATGAAATTGGAATATTCCAGGAAAAATTTGTTGGATGCTTCTCTGAAAATTTGTTCTGGAATATTGGAAGACAATATTATAAATTTTAGTAAAATTTATTTTTTCATGATAATCAGTACCTGATATAATGTTATACTGCCACTGGCAAGATTAATAGTAGCGTTTACTATTGGATATCCGTTGCTGGTAATCCAGGCGTCTACGAAACTCGTCTGAGGATTATTACTTTTTATTGATTCAGTCAAATGTTTGTTGAGAAATTTCCAGAAGTTGGATGTATCTGTTGCATTTCTAAATAAAAAGATAATTAATATTTAAAAAATTATAGATTTATAATATAAACTTCTAAAAGAAGAAGTATTAACGTAAAAGCACATGAATCTGTTAATCTGTGATAGAAGTTCAGAAATTAGAATAACATTTTTTGGATATATTCCAGGAGCATAAATAAATGCAACTTACACTTTGTTTATGTAACTTCGAATTATTTCCATAAAATTTTCGACTCCAAATACGTTTTGGTACATATTCAGCAGCGCCACTCCTAGTTATAAATTTCATATAATAATAATAATTATAATAGTTCAAACATATTTGGTTTGTATAGCAACTCACCTTTATTTACATATATATCATGATTTTGGTTTCGTATTTGAAAAATATTAGAAAAAGCATTTTTAAGTGGTGAAACAGAACTCATAGAATCCCTTTCCATCAGAGCAACATTTTCCAAAAATCTATTCACCATCATTTGCGACGGTTCAATCTGGTTGAATTAAAAATTTACATAATCTTGGTTTTATATAATGTACAAATTATAATTTTTTACCGTAGATATAATCATTTGGCTTAAATATTTAAATATTGCTTCAGGAATCCAGATGCCTGACAAATCGTTTATTTGTACCATACTAGTTAATAAACTACATGCAATTTGTTTTGATATAATTTTGGCAGATTCCAAATATTCTTGAGTTGAAACCAGGTTTGAATCCAACAGTTGCATTTCTCTACAATTTGAAAAAGTTAATTCAAAATTTGTATAAATTAATCAATACTGCATATCAGCATTACTTTAGAATTACTACACCATGAGCAGCATCGCCATTATAATAATTTCCAGGGATGACTACCAGATTTAAATTGAGTGGTTGGGGAACAGCACTTTCTAAGATTTTGTAGTAGGTTTCCAATATGGATTTTAAGAAATCTATTTTGGAAGCCACAGTTTCGACAAGTTCTTGTTTTGACCATACTGTTAGAGATGTGTTGTCATTGATCTGGATGTCTTGTTTGGATAATTCGGACACCATGAAAAATACTGATGAAGGCGTTATTGGAGGAGTTGGTTGGAAGTAGTCCCATACTAAATCGAAGTTTCTGGAAAAGGTAGAATAAATAATATAGAATTATTTTTTTATGTATAGTATTTAAATATGTTTGGAATCATTTTGGATATGAAATTGATGAAGTTTAATTGACTTGGAGGTGGATTTTTTGTATTCACAGGATTGCATCTAACAAAGTCACAAAAAAGGAACTGCATCTAAAAGGAAGGACAAACGAGAAAGTTTTCTAACTATAGGATTTCTGGAAGAAGTTACTAACTTTTATAAAGGTATTGTAAATTATCATCTATATAATTAGATTAGTTTGGAATCGTCCAGTTACAAATTTGTTTGGCATGGAGATGGATCATGGACTTTAGCTCTAGTAACTAAATTTTATTTTTTATTTTTACTCACTTGTTCATAGATTGTTTTAAAATAGAATTTGAAACAGATTGCATATTAAGTTTTCGTTGAATTGCAATTTCAAAAGGTGCTGCAATCGTGGGTTCGTCAAAACATGGAAAAACACTTCTGGCTAATGTTGGTCGCAAATTGGTTGATAACAATAGCCTGAAATACATATATTTATATATGTATACACATATTTATATATCAGTAATTATTTATCTTACTTGGATTCTCCGTTATCCATATAATTCTTCCAGTAAAACTCGGAGTATTCATGTTTTATTTCACCAGAAAATAGAATCTCCAGCATATATTCTACACCAGGTTCCATTTCTTCTTTTAAATAAAAACTCACAATTTCCGTAGTTTCGTTCAAAACAAATGTCAAACTTTCCATCGGTTCCAAAATATTCATCATCGTCATATCTTCACTTGTCATTTTTGCAGAAGTTGTAGATCCCACTGTCAATCTTGAACTAATGGTAGACTCCACTGGATTTTCTGAAGTCACAATTGTGGAATCAGGAGTTGACGTTAAATCATCATACATAAAGTCGCCCAATTGGAAATATTTTACAAGTTTTGGAATCAAACTCATTTTGGATTCATTATATTCATCCTCTTCAAATGGCATTTGTAATTTATCGCTGTTTAAAATTTTTTTGTGGTCCACAATAGTGACTTTTGTAATTGTTAGATCTTTGGAATTTAAATCGATTTGTTTAGTTGAATTTTGGGCCGATAGTGTTATCCAAATTGTTCCCTCGTATTTGTACACATTGTCTTCTAAGTCGAATGATGGCCGGATTAGAAGACGATAGTATGATGGTTTTATATTTTTTGGCAAAATTAATTCATTCCAGTCTATGTTTGTATTTGAAGGCAATTTTGGATTCTATAATAGAAAAGAAAATAATTAATAATAATTTTTATATATTGTCAAATTTTTTGAAATTATGATTTCTTATGATTAATATTATTTATTATTACCTCTGTCAATCTGCAAGTACTTAAATAATGCACTGTGAATCCAATAATTACAGAAATCAACACTAAAATTAATGTACTTAAAAAGAAAGTAAATTTTGTCATATAAAGTCCTTTTCTTTTTAACTTGGATTCACCATTAGTAAATTCCACGGATCTTGTACAAGGATCTCTGAAGGATAACGTTTCCATTTTGAATAAAAAAATTAATAACAAATTTAAATTTGTCACTGAAACATAATGCACAATAATAATAATCACATTGGTTATGAACAAAAATTTTAAAAAGCTTATGGGTCCATTATTAAGGATTTAATTTTGGACATTTTCTTTGGCAACTGATATTCAATATTTATAATTTTTTAATATCAATTTTACTGCAGCTGTTAGTTGAATAAATTAAAATCAAATCAATTTAGATTACAGTAAGTCAGTTTTCTATTTGTAAACGATTCAACATGAAATAGTAAACTCATAATTTAAAATTATAAAACAATACTAGTAGAACTTATCAACTCTTTGAAATATTGTAAAACTTTCAGCCCGCATGTGAAATTTTATTGATATTTGTTATCGAAATAAATATTACAAAGTGCACATTTAAATTAGTATTTTTAAAATCACAAATTTATCATATTAAATAACTTATTAAATCCAACAACTGCAATTGCAATTTTTGTGTTAAAAATCGTTTATAAAATATTCTTTGTAGTCTAAATTTCCTTTATATTAGGCATTTATATTTTGAAATTATTATTAACTTCCCGTAGGATAGTTATAGTAATGGGCCGAAAATCGAAAATAAAAATGTTTGCATTTCTCGACGTTTTGAAGGTTTCTGAACAATTTGGCATACCTCAGAAAAAATGAATGTGTGTGTGTATGTTTGTATGTATGGATACAATTTTTCGTTCACGTTTTCTGGCGCACGGATCAACCGATCTGAATGCTTCAAAAAACATTCGATTCCTATTGATAGAGAGATGTGCTGATTAGTTTTTGGCAAAGGCAGGACCAGCAGTTAGGGAAATAAAGAGCAAAGAGTGCAGAAAAGAGAAATAGAGTTTTTGAGAGAACGGAGCATTCGATTTGAATTAAAAAACATTTAATTAGTAATGATTGGGAAAAGTGGTTATTAGTTTTTGGCAAAGGCAGGCCTAGCCATTTCCAAGATACAGAGCTAAATGTGCAAAAAATGGCAGTGTTTGAGAGAACTAAGCGTCCGATCTGAATTATTCAAAAATGAATTTCAACTTTGCAATTCAGTTTATATAATTTTTATAAATACTAGACAAAGTCAATATGTAAATTAATGCATTTTTTAGTCTTTTTTATTTATGTATTTATGTGAATGAAAATTAATACTGAGATCTGTCCGAGGCGGGTATCGAACCTAAGACCACTAATTCAAATCCTATACCTAAATATCGACCATTTGGTCAAAGATGAAATGTTTAATAAATATTTTATAAATATTTGTTCTATATGTTTAATATGTTTTTTATAAATTGGTCAACAGTTTGCGAATTTGTTGCACCACTTGCATTGTTTTTCGCCTTATCGGCAATACAATAGTATAATATTTTTAGTTTTTATGATTCGTGACGAAGCAATAAACATTTAATTTATCCTCGAATCTTTCATGCAGTCGAAACAATAGTTGAATGATACATCTTATTCCTAGAAACACCTTGGCAAAAAAATTTAATGGCGAAAAGGAATTATTACATTCTCCATTATGAAAATTAGAGCTTGAAGATCAAAAGAATGTTGGTATCTTGATAAATAAGATTTTGGCTAAATCAATTCAGTTTCTCAGAATTTTCCTAGCCTAGTCAACCTACAATTAACCTATTTAAAAGACATTTATCTTATATTGGATGTGTCTCGGTTTGTTGATCGGCATTCAACAATTTAGTGGCTTCCTGCATAGCAAAACGGTTCAATTGATATTTGCCAGGAGGCACCACAATAACATTACTTAAGGAGATCTAATTGAATGAATCAAAAACGATCTCATTATTGCATTACTGGCACTTTGGTTTGTCATGTCCAGCAAGAGACGTACTTGGGAAAAAAATTATTATTAAAAAAAATTATCAAATATAGGCAATATAAACCATAATTTATTACATCACCTACGTTGATACAAAATACTCAATATGCTGTATTAAATAACAACTTAGTTTATGTTACTGTTGTTAAATATTATTGCTGGTTAGTATTCAGTATATTTTTCATTCTTTACATTATTAATTTTACGAACTTAATCGAACAAATTGAAATAAAAATACATTATTCCTTCAGCAGTTCGAAGGAATGTAGTTCTAAAATAATATTGATGAGATTCTTAGTTGCAAAATGAACAATAGGTAAAGTTTCGATAATTGCGTTATATTTGTTATAGACATTTGCATTAATAATTTAGATAATTCTATTTGTATAGTATTTGTATTTGAAAATGTAAAAATTTATACAATATTCGAATATCTAAAGATCTTATTATCATACATTTACAATTTTGATTAATATGTAATATGTATTTAGTAATATACTAGATATTTGTATATATTCACAGGTTATAGCAATATATATTTAAATTTTATTCATACTGTATTTAAATTTTTAAGAATCTAATGTTTGTGTAATATACTAGAATTTCTAAACTCTCAGTAAAGTTTTGATTAAAATATTAAAATTTGGCAGTTTAATAAACGGATTTTCAAAATTAGGTTTAATGGGTATTTTACACAATATTTTATAAATTTTATAAAAATCTCTAAATATATTTATTTATATATTTATTTTCTAGGTACGCCACTGGAATCTCTTCTTATTTGCATCTTGGATCCATAATGGTCGCCCTTGTCAGAGGGCATCTTTTGTATCAGATGTTGAAGTCGTTGAGGAGATCTTATTTCTCTCTTATCCAAGTCATAACTTAAATCTAGTGGATGTGTGTTTCTGTGCAAAAGTTTTATGTTTTTGCTAATTCATAAACGACAGGTAATAGAAATTATCAGTTATTAATTATTATAATTTTATTAGATGTAGTTGTAAAAATTAATTTAGACATATTTAGTTTTTGCACTTAAATTTAAGGGAAAATCATCTTTCACAGTAGCCTGCTGCAGTATTTATAATTTAGAATCAGTGATGATCAGATATTTATTTATTGTATTTTTAAACTGCTGTTTATGTAATATGAATGCAACATTGGTGCTTTTGTTCAAAATTTAGTGTTTGGAGAACAAAACCAAAATTATTTGCAACCAAACAATCTACAATCTTTTCTATCTGTTTAAGGCGTGATAATTATAAATTTATATTATTTTTTAAAACGTATTTGAGTCTACAGTGTCCGGTTTTCCGCAACATTTCCACAAATTTCTTGTTGCTGGGTCCACAATAACAAAATAAATAAATAAAATAAAACCTTGTAATGTCGCAGTTAGACAAAATAAATACGAAAATACAATACCAGCATCTAAAGCTGCTGCTAATGCAAACGACCATGTCAAACCCAGCAGAAAAAATAAGAAAATCGATAATCGCAATTGAGCCGAAATTAAACTCGGGTAATGATTTTTCTTAATGACATTCTTTGGTCTATGAAATATTGCAATCAAAACCGAAGTGTAAAAGATCATGTTTATTAAAATCATCACAGCTATAGGGCCTACAACCGTAATAAATAAAGCTATCCCCGAAGGATAGCAAATTGCATTTTCTGATTCAATTTGTGGGATGTAGTTACCATTATCTATTGCCAAAAGTAATAATACTGGAGCAAAAGGACAACCCCAAGCAATTGCTGCAGCTTTCTGCATAAATTTGGCCGGTCTTATTATACCCAAAACTCTAACATACCTCAAATACTGCATGTAAGCAATAATTACCATCCAACAAAAACATGCAAGCACTATGTAATGCAGAATACTGCCCAAAACAACGCAACAAGTCTCTTGCAAACTATAACCAGGAGATTCTATGTCTACTTCGGAAATATTTACAATCCCGACGTTCATGATTAAAATTACTACCATTTCTATAAATATAGCAGAAGACAAGTGCAACAAAACTTTAATCCCAGTTTTTTTACGCCACGATTTATATACAATCGCCATTATAAAAATTCCAGTCAGACCAATAATAGACAATGTACAACCTATCATCGTTATCATGTTCAAATTTTTCTCGTGTTGGGTTTCTTCAGTGTTCGGTGTTAATTTTGTATTCCCAGTAACAAGTTGTGCAAAATTTGTCAAATGCGAGCATTCACAAACTGTCAAATTATATTTTCCACTCTCGTGTTCCATGGTTCGAAAACAACCATCATTGTACCATTCTCCAAAGTTGTTATGCATATCAAATTTTGGTTGATAATTCCAATAGTTACATGAGACATTTGTAACTGGGGATATAAAATTTTCAAAATTTTGGCGAAATAAAATTGTTAAAGGAATTGGTAAATTTGGACCGTAATGTGGAATTGAAACACTCACCACTTTATCCGCAAAAAAATTTGTGCGCCGTTCCTTAAAATATACATCACTGTTATAAATTGTTATAATTATTGATATATTACAACCTGTTTTGTTATATGTCGTATCATTAATTCTTTCTAAAAGTTTATCTGGAACCCAAGTCAGCAGTTCTAAGTTTTCAATTTGCATTAATTTGTCTAAAGTTTGGTGGGATGATATTGTCATTAAATCGTAGTCATCTAAATTTCCAATACTGGATGCGTTTTTCTTAATCAAAGCAATTCCAGATACATTTTTGATGCTGGGATTCGAAATTTGACATATAAATTCGGATGATCTTATCAAAATTACACCATCATCTTTATCATTTAAGAAGTCATCTTGTATTGGTATGACTTCCAACAAACGATTTATAGAATCTGTTATAATATTTGTTGAATTTAATGCAATTTGGGATAATGCAATGCTAGTGCTATTAATTTCAGCTATTTTAGAAATAATATCCGTTACAATTTTTCTTTTATTGAACATTTTATCTTTATTTGATTTCAACGCAACCTTTTCAAGTATCAAACCAAGGTAGTAAATATCTGCTGGGATGATAGACTCGGCATTGAAAATGATTTTAAAAATTTCATCCGTGATACAGTCTGTACAGTTTATTAATTCTCCATGTTTCGCATTTATATCAAATAGTCCAGAAGT